CCAGCAATGTTTATAGCCATTTATTCGGACCCAGTCCGAAAACGGGGACTTATGTTTTGACCTCTATGCGTGTGTGCGTGTATCTTAGAAATGTCTCGACCAATCACAATCAAACTTCACACATACATCATACATGATATTATACATATGCACATCAATTTGTTTGACGATCCTATTTAAAATAGCCGAATGGTGGCCATTTTTGTGCTAAGAAATCATAAAAATCAAGCATTTCTGGCATTTTTGGATGGATTTTGTTCAAACTTGGTACATACATTAGACATTATGGGTTCCTGATGCACGTTATTTTATTTTTTAGATCAGATTCAGAATGGCTGACTAGTGGCCATTTTGTTTTAATGAATGGCCTTCTAGAGCCATATCTCTGACATGCTTTGACTGACTATGTTCAAATTTTAATTTTATTTTATTCATTATACATGTATTCAAAATGGCTGATTTTGTTTTAATCCAGAGCAATATCTCTCAATGATCAGATACAAATGTCAATTATTTAAATGTTAAACAATCATCATAATCATATTCCTGACATGTTTATATTCCAACTATATTACTATAAACAATAAACTATACTATAAACAGGGACTGTGCCATGCATGGCTTGTTCATTATTATTTTTGAAAATATTTACCGTGTTTGTATACATGTACTCAATTTCAAACACAAATTTTATAATAGAATTTACATAGAACCTTATAATACTACACATATACCGGGTAATAAATAAACTAATAAATAATTGACACAACTTTGTGCTGCTGTTTTCAGAAATTGTGTTAGATTAAGTCCTCAAGGAAAACATGCTGGATTTTGTTTTACTGGAGTTTCTCTATTAAAAGTGCATCTCCAATAGAAACTTAAAGGGGAACCGCTCAATCCCATGGATTGCACCAAAGAATCATGGGACACTATTGTTTATGTTGTTTACAATGTTAATCTATCTTTTGTTACCCATTGTTATTTTAATCCAGAAAGTAAATTTGTTGTGAGATTAGACTTAACTGGCAGGTGCCCCTTTAAGCCAAAAATCCCATTTATTGTATATTGGATTATTGAATTTTTTTATAAATTGTGCAGTTTGTTGCTAGTTCTTTCCATTATGTTGGTCAGTCATTACTGTACTGTAGCGATCACACAACATTTGTTTTGATTTAGTTGGCTAATACACAAGACCCTATTGCTGATTTCATTACTGTACTGTAGCGATCACACAACATTTGTTTTGTTTTAGTTGGCTAATACACAAGACCCTATTGCTGATTTCATTAAGTAAGTGTACATGTATTCAGCATAACAATTAATCATATAATTAAGTCTATCATTGTGATTGTGATATATCTAGGATTTTAAGGTAGAGCAATACTCAAAAGTAAGACTAATAAATAAATGAAATGAAATGCACGGTGACAATTTTCCTTAGTAACATTATTATGTGTATAATAATAATAATAATAATCAATCAGTCCATCTTCATAATATTGGTTCTATTTTGACCTACCTGTGTATTTAGCGGGTTGTGTGCCGATGTAGTATCGTTTGCATCGCAATTAAGTTATGAAGAATTCATGGACCAAGCCGAGAAGTTAAATGACTGTGACAGCACCTACCCACACCTCATGGATATTGCTAAGAAAATTGGTTACAATGTGTCAAAGGTAGTATTTCGGGGTTATCATGCCAGCAGTCAGCTGACTAAAATGCACGAGTTGGCGATAAAGACCCGAACAAAACTTAGAATTGAGGTGAGTTATTTGTTTTACAATATATAGACTTTTACACTTTGTGTTGCCGTATTTGGTCCATTAAAAGGACATCTGCAGTAGATCTAGCCTGACAAGTTGGCGTAGGTGGTGTCGTGGACTGCTACTGGAATTCGCAGCAGTCAAGGGCGCCACATACGCCAACTTGTCAGGCTACAGTAGATCAAAGCACATAAAATGTCCAGTTAATGTTTACGTATTTATTATTACACCTTTTTACATAAGTGCATGCACTAGGGCAAGTATGGTATTGTTATTGTCGCGCGCAGTTATCTAACATGAACAAATTTTACTTTCTGTATGATGTTCTCCAAGCTAGTTTGTAATTTCAGACATTGTTTTGATAACCACGAGTTGAGCCCTGAGAGACTAGATCGGTTTCTGTAGCAACCGTGACGCTATATCCAAACGTTCGCTACATTGTTTCCCATTGCGTTCTCGTGGTACTTGTCTGTTTACCGCCCGAAATTCCCACCAAAGTTCTGCCTCGTGTTAGTCGTGTGTCACTCCTAATATGGAATGACAGCGTTATGTTTCGTTTGTATGCGCCAATCATTAGCGTTGTTTTATTTTCGGAACGTTTTGACATGATATATTCTAGAGTACAAACACGTATTTGGCACTTCTCCGATTAGCTGTCACCGAGACAAATGCCGCTCTAACGTTGACAATTACATTAACCAGGCAAAGCGCTGTCGTGTGAAGTCCGATTCAGGCCGTCGCTGTAATTCCTTCTATGGTAGCTTCGCAACTTGATGCTCGTTATGCACACCCTCCTTTCTATGCTCTCTACGATGCCAACTCCTCATGGAGCTATTATTTAGCGATCTATATTTTATAACAAGAAATATTTGCTGTACAACGTATTGATGTTCATGTTGAGTACAAATAAACCAGTTTGAATTATACCTCACGTCTGTTCAACTCAAGAAAACACAACGCAATCGATGTCCGTTTCAATAACAATTCCGCATGATTAGTCAGTTCGTTTTATGTGACGAAAAGAACACCCCAACGCCTAGTTTTGCGATATAAACTTATCCACCACAGTTATTGTGTTCTTTAATATTTCTCACACATGTTCATTTTACAAATTATATATCATATACTCTTGTATATTTCCAATATAACCGTGTATATTTTTTTTATACCGGTAGATGGAGGAAGAAGAGCAGAAACAAGGTTTGATTGACATGAAACTGAAAAGTGAACTAGAGAGAAGTGAGCTTGGTGAGTTAATTTTCTATTATCAGATATATGTTATTACATTACGGTATAAATTTATACATTGAGCAATAAGGAATAAGAATAATTTTCCAATTTTTATCATCACATGATGGAATCCAGGTATGCAGGCACAAGGATTATAAAGTCACAAATACACCTTTCAGCAAATTCTGTATTAAATTCCTGTCAGAATCCCATACAGCCTAATAAAGGCGACCTTTCTGCGAAGCACACAATGGGAGTCTTCACAGTTACCCTGTCAGTATGTGTGCGTGTCTGTCCATTCCACTAGTATCTCAAGAACTGTATGTTGGTTTTTAATGAAACTTGGTGCATAGATGCTCTGGGTTAATGCGCAGATTCGATTAGATTTTGTTTGAAATCCATGCATATTATGCATCCACCTAATTTTCATGATAATTCGCTAATTTTTATCTGTTCCATGACTGTTCCACTGATATCTGAAGAGCTATTCATTGGATTTTGATGAAACTTGTTACATATATGCTCTAGATTAATGCACAGATTTGATTAGTTTTAGTTAAAAATCCATGCATATAATTAACATAATTTGCATGATTTGTCAATATTTTTCCACTGATATCACAGGTACTAATCATCACATTTTAATGAAATCTAAATAGATACTTACGACAATGCACAGACATATATGTGAACTATTAATTACCTAATTTGCATAATTAATCAATTTTCAGCTTTTGATATTTAAAGATGTATTACTTCATTACTTTTCAATGAAACTTGGTACATAGATGCTCTAGGACAATTCAGAGACGTGATTAATTTTGGGTACTAATGTGTGCATATTAATCAACTAATTTTGTATTTTGTATTTTGATACTGTGAATCACATTGTTTTGCAAGATGTGCATCTCAAATTGCAGACAAATATTAGTTGCCAAGCTTCTCATTTGAAAAGCAAATCTTAAATTAATTTCAATGTGTCTCCAATACTTTCAGCACACAGGAGTTCTTTCTAAGCTTTCTTTGATTTATATTTTTGCAAAATAGCTAGTGAAAATATGTTAACAAATGTTGCTCATTGGTCAATTTCGCCCGTAAGTTGTTTTCAAACAAGACAGTGCAGCAGTCTATACTGTAACTGTAAAATACCTTGACATGAGTGCACTGACAAGAACAAAATACAGAATTTCACAATTGCCCTTGGCTCAAGAAAATGTATCTCTCATGGTATAAGTTTACACGATATTTTGTAATCAGAACAGATAATTGCATATAGTTGTTGTGCGTTCTCATGTTTAAGAAATATTTAAATTTTGAACAGATTGGACTCAAAATGGCAGACTAGTTGCCATTTGTTTTAGTGAATGCAGTTTTGTCATTGATAAACAGATGTATTCAAAATGGCTGACCGGTGGTCATTTTTGTAGAAATTATATGCTGTTCCAGAGCAATACCTCTAAATTGAACAAGTACTCGTTTGATGATCAGATACAAGATAACTGAATGTCAATCATTTTAATGTCTGGATCCATATCTCTGTCATGTTTATGTACCAACTACAGTGTATATTACTATAAACAAATATATATCTTTAATTTGATAACTAACGAGGACTGTGCCATGAATGGCTTCTTCCTTTTAGAACAAAGCCTTCATATTGAACAAGAACAACATCGCCTGCAGTTAAGAAAGTATGTATATAATATATTATATTATTATCAATATAGCTCTGGTCTAGTGTCTTGTATTACATGCAATGATTGCAGTGGCTTGAAATGACATATGTAAATTATGTCAGGCAACAGTCATGGTCATAAGGATGGTCACTATTTGCTATCATTTTGCCATTGGAATTTTCTGAAATTTTGCTGAATAATTTCCTTTTTGAATTTCTGGAGAAAAAAATTGGGTTAACTGTTTTTACCATACTAATAAGTTTGGATTGCACTCGCAAGCACTTCCTCTCAAGGTAAAACTGTGAGACATATTTCACCGACAATAGATTGCATATGATGATGATTTCTATATTTGTTA